CGGTGGTTAAGTCTAATTCTTTGCTTTCAACCAGTTCTTTGATGATTTGTTTAAAATAATATTCACATTTTGGTGTGATTCTAAATCCAATATTAATGTCCAATTTTATGATTTTATTGTCTAATATTTCTTTTACTTTATATTGTAATACAAAAGGGCTATTAACATAATTTATGTGCAGAAACCAATATACATCTGCCCTTTTGGGTGTGGTAGAAAAAATGGAATTCATAATTCTTTCTTCAATTTTTTCTGAAGTTTGAGTTTTTGTCAAGTATATTAAGTGAGAAGCATACTTGGGAATATTCTTATCATTGCTTAATGCATTGAGTAAATCTACATAATTATCCAAGTTACTGTATTGGGTGAACCCATTGGTTTCTTTTTTTCCATTATAGATAAAATACATAACAAGTATAAAAACACCCGAGATTATAATGGAAATAACTCCTCCTTCAGAGAACTTAGTAAGATTAGCAATAAAAAATGAAAATTCAATAATAAAAAATATACCAATGATTAAATTGACAAAAAGTTTATTCCATTTTAGTTTATATCTCAAAAAAAACATTAATAAAACTGTGGTCATTAGCATGGTTAAAGTAATCGCCAAACCATAAGCCGCTTCCATATGAGCAGAGTCTTTGAAATACAAAACCACAAGAATACAACCCACCCATAAAATAAGGTTTATACTGGGAATATAAGTCTGTCCTTTTATCTCTGAAGGTTGACGAATGGCTATTTTTGGCCATAGCCCTAAATTTACCGCTTCGTTTATTAAAGTAAAACTCCCAGAAATTAGTGCTTGAGAGGCAATTATTGCGGCAAGTGTTGCTATAATAATACTTGGAATTAAAAACCAATGGGGTACTATTTCAAAAAAAGGATTTTCTGTAGTTAAATTTTTTATTCCCTTGTGGGTTAACCATGAAGCTTGACCCAAGTAATTTACTACCAAACAAATTTTAACAAAAATCCAAGATATTTTTATATTTTTTTCTCCCACATGCCCCAAATCTGAATAAAGCGCCTCTGCTCCAGTGGTGCAAAGAAAAACAGCACCCAAAAGCCAAAAACCATGTATATGAGTTTGTATCCCTGCTATACTTATGGGAAAAGAAGATGTAATGAATTTGAAGGCATAGAAAGGGTTTAAAGCTTTAATAATATCTGGATGATAGGCTATTTGTATAGCTCCAAATATAAACATCATACCAAACCAAATAAACATAACTGGACCAAATATGATTCCAATCTTTTGAGTTCCAAACCTTTGAAAAAAAAACAATACAGAAATTATTGCAATTACAATAGGCACTGTGGGTATATTAGGTGTTATTTTAGAAAATCCCTCAATGGCAGAAGTAACGGAAATTGCTGGTGTTATGATTCCGTCTGCAAGTAAAGTGCAAGCTCCAATTATTGTGGGGATAACTAAATATTTTCCATATTTTTTTACCGATTGATAAAGCGCAAAAATACCTCCTTCCCCATGATTATCTGCTTTTAAGGTAATGAAAACATATTTTATTGTGGTTTGGAAAGTTAATGTCCAAAAAACACTAGAAACCCCTCCATAAACCAATAAAGTATTTATTTCTTTATTGCCAAGAATGGCTCGTATCACATATAGAGGACTGGTTCCAATGTCTCCAAAGACAATTCCTAGAGTAACTAATACAGAGGCAAAAGTGATTTTATTTAACTGCTCATTTTTCATCTTATTCTTTGAAAAAGGTTATATTCGTCCGAAATTGGGCGAAATTTAATTATATTTTTTAGATTTAACTTCTGTTTTAAATCAAATATTTATCATAAATTTTATGCATGTTAGGTTATAAAATAGGGGATAAAGTTAAGATTGTGGATGAAAATATTGTTGGAATTGTTATAAGTATTGGAAATGATTATGTGACAATTTTAAATGAATTTGGTTTTGAGGAAACCTATCATCCAAAAGAAATTCTTGCATATCAGAAGTTGAGTGAATTGGAACTCATTAAAAATTATGAACCTGAGAAATTACCCAAAAGAGAAAAAGTAAATTCTTCTCATTCTGAAGAATTTAATTTATTA